CGTACCACAGTGTAGACAGTCTACACGTACCACAGTGTAGACAGTCTATACATACAGTGTAGACAGTCTACACGTACCACAGTGTAGACAGTCTACACGTACCACAGTGTAGACAGTCTACACGTACCACAGTGTAGACAGTCTACACGTACCACAGTGTAGACAGTCTACACGTACCACAGTGTAGACAGTCTACACGTACCACAGTGTAGACAGTCTACACGTACCACAGTGTAGACAGTCTACACGTACCACAGTGTAGACAGTCTACACGTACCACAGTGTAGACAGTCTACACGTACCACAGTGTAGACAGTCTACACGTACCACTGTGTAGACAATCTACACGTACTGTAACAAACTAGGTTTGTTGTAGGGAATTATTCAGTATAGATTCTCATAGATATGGGGGTTTTGAAAGTTTGGAGTCAGACGGTACTCGACCTGATTCGAGCAGAAAAAGGTAATCTCTCCTGGGATTAGCGGTTAAGATTACAAAATGGCCGTCGCCTTTGTCTTAAAGCAACGTAAAATGAATTATTTAATAGAATTCAGTAATTTAGAGAGATTCAAGTCTTCATTCAAATTGTATTCAATAATGTTCCTGTTCAAGTATCGAGTATTCTCAATAGTCGGAATAATGAGTAAGTCACCGTCATGTTATCGCTAGCAGAGGACTAGCCTCTGAGGCGGATCGGTCTTGACGACCCTGGGTCAAGGGTCACCAAAGCCTTCCATATTTAGTAATTTTCAAAGGTCAAATAGCCATATTGAAATTGGAAATAGCCTTTCCGTAAGATGCCTGTATGATTACCATCAGTTTATAAGATTGCAACCATCTGGGTTGTTCAGTACAACAGAGATTAGTTCAATTTCAACCCTGCTTAGTAAACTAGTAACCTGGCATAGGAATACCCCTCTAGCCTCAGTGGTGAGGAGAGCAAGGGAGGATCAGTGTGGTCTCGGTCAACAGCTGGAGAGGTCATCCACCCTCCCTGTCCAAATAGATCAGTATAACATCAGCTGGTCGCATTGACAAGGTATAGTTGCTACATTTTTGTATAGGTTAATAGTTCATTTCATGCCTCGATAGGGAGTGTTAAGGTATAGGGAGTGATATTTCATTTAGCTGTTTAGATTTTTCAATGATATATAAGTAGCTTGTTTTCTGTATTTTATTATTTCCATTTGAATGTGTGCATGTCCTTGTCACATGGTCTCCACGAGTCTGAGTTTTAGTTGGGCCGTAAGCGTAGCAAAGTTAAAGAGATCATATATTCCTTCGTTTGCTATAATTTCCACACTTAACGTAGATTCATCCCCCCCTTTTCCAAGTAATTTGGGGATCAAGCCCCAAGGCATTAATGATCGATTAATTGGTCCAGACCCCGATTAATTGACGCTTCTGGTTAATGGTCGGGTTAATGGTTAATAGTATAACCACCTAATTATCGCAGGGGACTTTAATATTGACCTCTACGAGCCTGAACACCCCACTGCTGTTAGCTTCCTCAACTGTATGAATTCCTGCTTCCTCATACCCTTAATCACTAGACCTACTAGAATCACTGATAGCACTGCCACGACGCTCGATCACATCTGGACAAACATAACCTCTCCGCTTACTTCAGGTATAATCACCGATAGCACTACAGATCATTACCCCACATTTCTCTTAACTAACATTAGCAAACCACCTCTTGAGTCAAGAGTGATACGTTTTAGACTACACAATGAAACTGCTATAGACAATTTTATAACTGCTGCTGATAATGTCAACTGGGAGTCCGAGTTAGGTAACATAGTGGACATCAACCTAGCAGTGCAATCTTTTCTTCAAAAAACTCTTAGCCTTTATAATACCCACTGTCCTATGCTTACAAAACAAGTCACAACCAAAAGGCTTAACAATCCCTGGCTTACAAAGGGAATACTTAAATCTATTAATAAAAAACATGACCTTGAGAAGAAGTATAGGTTAGGAATTGTCTCCAAAGAATTCTCAAAGAATTACTCATTATTGCTGTCTAAGATAATTAGACGAGCCAAAACTAAATACTACGAAGATAAATTTACCCAAATAAAGAGCAACATTAAACAAACTTGGAGAACAATTTCTCAAATATTGGGATCAAAGAAGTCTTTAAATAACAAACCGACTCTCCTGTCTAGTAACGATGGTCAGCTTTCAGCCTCTGATTCTGCTATTGAGTTCAATAGGTTCTTCTCTTCCATTGGTTCATCCCTTGCAAATGATATTCCATCTTCCAGTACAGACATTAATGACTATCTTTCAGGTAACTATCCACAGTCTCTGTACCTAAAGCCTATTAATTCCACTGACGTCAATGAGATAATCCTTTTCCTTAAAACCAAGTCTGGTGCCCTTGAGGAGATACCAACTTTAATTTACAAAAAAGCCTCCAGATCTTTAGCCCCTGCTAATGCTTTGCTCTTCAACAAGTCACTTGAACTCCAAACCTTCCCAGATATTCTAAAAAAAGCGAGAGTAACGCCTGTCCACAAATGTGGTAATCTCACAGATGTTAACAACTACAGACCTATATCTATCCTGCCAAACTTGTCAAAAATTTTTGAAAAACTAATCTATAAGCAGCTTTACTCATATCTAGCCAAACTCAATATACTTAGCCCTTGCCAGTATGGCTTCAGACCCAAAAAAAGCACTAACGATGCACTTATTAGTATGCTTAACTCGATTCATACAGCTCTTGATAAAAATGAGTTCCCTGTTGGGTTGTTTGTGGACCTGCGTAAAGCTTTTGATACTGTCAACCACCAAAACCTTCTTCTTAAATTACATCATTATGGAGTCAGAGGACACTCCCTACAATACCTCAAATCCTACCTTACTGACAGGCTCCAATATGTTTCTGTAAATAATACAATTTCTCCCACCCTACCCATCAACATTGGTGTTCCCCAGGGCAGCATACTTGGCCCTCTCCTCTTTCTCATCTACATTAATGACCTTCCAAATGCCTCCCAACACCTCAAACCAATTCTATTTGCTGACGACACAACCTTCATTTACTCCAGTCCTGATCCCCTTGCTCTAAATGCCACAGTAAATACTGAGCTAAATAAAGTCCATCTGTGGCTAACTGCCAACAAACTCACCCTTAACATTGACAAAACCTAATATATTCTGTTTGGCAATAAATCCTCTAATCAAATAAATCTCAAAATAAACAATACCCAAATTTGTAACAAATTAGATGGCAAATTCCTTGGCATTCTCATTGACCACAAGCTTAATTTCCAGGGACACATTCTAAACATATCAAAAAAAGTTTCAAAAACTGTGGGCATTCTTTCTAAGATCAGATATTATGTACCACGCCCTGCCCTGGTGACTCTCTATTACTCCCTTATCTATCCATATCTCAACTATGGTATTTGTGCTTGGGGCTCTACTACCCAAAATCAATTACGTCCTCTAATTACTCAACACAAAGCTGCTATTAGGACAATATCCAATTCTGGCCCCAGACATCACTCGGTACCCCTACTTAAATCTCTGAATATGTTAGACATTAAGTCACTGCACATTCTCTCATGTGTATTATACATATATAAAACGCTAAACTATAATGCCAATCCTGATCTCAAAAGCTTCATAGAAGGTTGTATCAGAACCCATGAGCATCACACCAGAAATAAATACAGTTTTGATATTCCTAGAGTAAGACTTAATCAAACTAGAAATGCTCTACAAATCAAGGGGCCCAGCATGTGGAATGACCTTCCCAACCATGTTAAAGACTGTACCTCTCTCAACCAGTTTAAGTTAAAAGCGAAGCTATACCTAATAAATTCCCTGTAACCTACCTTACCCTTCTATTGTCAACCAATGTCTGTTTTTTTTCTTTAAAGAGTGCTGTTTGTCGACATAATTGTATTTGTGCTGCTTTTTCATCTATGTTTTCATTTCTTGTTTTCATTCTACTCATTATGCTCAATTAGTATTAAGCTTGTCATTTAAGTTTATCATGCCCGAAACGCTTTGCGTAATAGTGGCTTTAGGCATTGTATGTACTAGCTCTACCTATAAGTCAAACAATCCTTGTTAATATTTATTGTATGTATGTACCTTACCTAAATAAAATTGTATTGTATTGTATTGTATTGTATTGTATTGTATTGTATAGTGGCGGTTTGATCCCTTGAGTTTGCTAGAAAACCTAGTACGACGTCACGTGACTGTAGAATCTTAGCCGATCGAGCGGCTAAGACCACGTGGCGTGGGACTCGGCTATAGAGTATGCTCTGGGGTCCTTTGGAATTCAGTTTAAGTTTCAGTAAGCATATTCACGGACAGTGTAAAGGACAGAGGAGAGGTAATACCCGCCCGTGTTACAGTACCACAGTGTAGACAGTCTACATGTACCACAGTGTAGACAGTCTACATGTACCACAGTGTAGACAGTCTACACTGTCATTTAAGCTGTCAATTTATGCTGCAGTCATATTTGTTAGTTTTATTAATAATAATAATAATAATAATAATAATAATAGTGAAGCATATTCCGGCTTCAGTAGAAGCCACAGAAAACCCTCGAGTGTTCAGTAGAACTCAAAGTTGCAGTTCTTATCCGTGTCGTGGTCTAGCCCCTGGAGCATGTGCCTGGGTACACCCACTGCATATACGTTCGAATCCTCATCACGGCTCCTACGGATTTTCTCACTATTATTATTATTATTATTATTATTATTATTATTATTATTTCTATTATTATTATTATTATTATTATTATTATTATTATACTTACAGGTTTGCTCACCATGGTACTGGCTGGAGGAAGAGAAAGACCTGGAACCCGTCATAGGGGTTCCAGCACCACCATGACAGAGGGCTCTGGAACATATGATAAGGGTTCCAGCACCACCATGACAGAGGGCTCTGGAACCCATGATAGGGGTTCCAGCACCACCATGACAGAGGGCTCTGGAACCCATGATAGGGGTTCCACCCCACCATGACAGAGGGCTCTGGAACCCATCATAGAGGTTCCAGCACCACCATGACAGAGGGCTCTGGAACCCATCATAGAGGTTCCAGCACCACCATGACAGAGGGCTCTGGAACCCATGATAAGGGTTCCAGCACCACCATGACAGAGGGCTCTGGAACCCATGATAGGGGTTCCAGCACCACCATGACAGAGGGCTCTGGAACCCATGATAAGGGTTCCAGCACCACCATGACAGAAGGCTCTGGAACCCATGATAGGGGTTCCAGCACCACCATGACAGAGGGCTCTGGAACCCATGATAGGGGTTCCAGCACCACCATGACAGAGGGCTCTGGAACCCATGATAGGGGTTCCAGCACCACCATGACAGAGGGCTCTGGAACCCATCATAGAGGTTCCAGCACCACCATGACAGAGGGCTCTGGAACCCATGATAAGGGTTCCAACACCACCATGACAGAGGGCTCTGGAACATATGATAAGGGTTCCAGCACCACCATGCCAGAGGGCTCTGGAACATATGATAAGGGTTCCAGCACCACCATGACAGAGGGCTCTGGAACCCATGATAAGGGTTCCAGCACCACCATGACAGAGGGCTCTGGAACATATGATAAGGGTTCCAGCACCACCATGACAGAGTGCTCTGGAACCCATGATAAGGGTTCCAGCATCACCATGACAGAGGGCTCTGGAACCAATGATAAGGGTTCCAGCACCACCATGACAGAGGGCTCTGGAACCAATGATAAGGGTTCCAGCACCACCATGACAGAGGGCTCTGGAACCAATGATAAGGGTTCCAGCACCACCATGACAGAGGGCTCTGGAACCAATGATAAGGGTTCCAGCACCACCATAACAAAAGGCTGTCATGGTGGTCCCACACACAATTACCAGTCATCACCTCCCTCCACACCAGTTCCAGCCCTCACCTTCCCCACACACCAGTTCCAGCCCCCACCACCCCGCACACCAGTACCAGCCCTCACCTCCCCACTCACTAGTACCTGTCCTCACCTCCCCACTCACCAGTACCAGTCCTCACCTCCCCACACGCCAGTACCAGACTTCACCTCTCCACACACCAGTACCAGCCCTCACCTCCCCACACACCAGTACCAGCCCTTACTTCCCCACTCGCCAGTACCAGTCCTCACGTCCCCCACGCACTAGTTTCAGCCTTCACCTCCCCATACACAAGTACAAGCCAACATCTCTCCACACACTAGTACCAGCTTATCACCTCCCCACACATTAATACCAGTCCTCACCTCCCCACACACCAGTACCAGCCCTCACTTCCCCCCTCAACAGTACCAGTCCTCACCTCCCCAACACCATTACCAGCCTTCACCTCCCCACACACCAATACCATCATTCACCTGCCCACACACCAGTAAGAGCCCTCACCTCCCCACCCACCAGTACCAGCCCTCACCTCCCCATACACAAGTACAAGCCAACATCTCTCCACACACCAGTACCAGCCTCTCACCTTCCCACACCCCAGAACTTGCCTTCACCTCCCCACACACCAGTACCAGCCTCTCACCTTCCCACACCCCAGAACTTGCCTTCACCTCCCCACACACCAGTACCAGCCCCACACCTCCCCACACATCAATACCAGCCCTCACTTCCCCACACACCAGTACCGGCCCTCACCTCCTCATACACCAGTACCAGCCCTCACCTCCATACACACCAGTACCAGCCCTCAACTCCCAACACCAGTACCAGCCTTAATCTCCCCACAATCCAGTACCAGCCCTCACCTCCCCACAGACCAATACCAGCCCTTCACCTCCTACATACTCCAGTACCAGCCCTTACGGGTCCGCACACCAGTATCAGCCCTCACCTCCCCACACACCAGTACCAGCCCTCACCTCCCCACACACTAGTACCAGTCCTCACCTCCCCACTCACCAGTACCAGCCCTCACCTCCCTACACACTAGTACAAGTCCTCACCTCCCCACACACCAGTACCAGCCCTCACATCCCCACACACCAGAACCAGCCCTCACCTCCCAACACACCAGTACCAGTCCACACCTCCCCACACACCAGTACCAGCCTTCACCTCCCCACACACCAATACCAGCCCTCACCTCTTCACACACTAGTACTAGCCCTTACCTCCCCACACACCAGTACCAGCCCTCACCTCCCCACACACAAGTACAAGCCCTTACCACGCCAAACACCTGTACCAGCCAACATCTCCCCACACACCAGTACCAGCCCCTCACTTCCCCACACACCAGTACCAGCCCTCACCTCCCCACTCACCAGTACCAGCCCTCACCTCCCCACACACCAGTACCAGCCTTCATCTTCCCACACACCAATACCATCCCTCACCTACCCACACAGCAATAAAACCCTCACCTTCCCACACACCAGTACCAGCCCTCATCTCCCCACACACCTGTTCCACCCCATCACCTCCCCACACACCAGTACCAGCCCTCACCTCCCCACATACAAATACCAGCCCTCACCTTCTCACACACCAGTACCAGCCCTCACCTCCACACACACCACTACCAGCCGCCCTCACCTCCCCACAAACAAGTACCAGCCCTAACCTCCCTACACACCAGTACCAGCCCTCACCTCCCCACACACTAGTAAGAGTCCTCATCTCCCCACACACCAATACCAGGCCTCATCTCCGTACACACAAGTACCAGCCCCTCACCTCTCGCATACACCAGTACCAGCCCTTACGTGTCCGCGCAATAGTACCATCCCTCACCTCCCAACACACCAGTATCAGCTCTCTCTTCCCCACACACCAGTACAGCCCTCATCTCCCTACGCACAAGTACCAGCCTTCACCTCTCCACACACCAGTACCATCACAAACCTACTCACACACCAGTACCAGCCCTCACCTCCCCACACACGAGTACCAGTTCTCACCTCTCCACACACCAATACCATCCCTAACCTTCCCACACACCAGTACCAACCCTCACCTTCCCACATACCAGTACCAGATCTCACTTCCATACACACCAGTACCAGCCCTCACCTCCCTACACACCAGTACTAGCCCTCACCTTCCCACATACCAGTTCCAGCCTTTACCTCCCACACACCAGTACTAGCCTTCATCTCCCCACATACCAGTTCCAGCCTTCACCTCCCCACACACCAGTAGCAGCCCTCACCTCCCCACATACCAGTTCCAGCCTTTACCTCCCCACACACCAGTACTAGCCTTCATCTCCCCACATACCAGTTCCAGCCTTCACCTCCCCACACACCAGTACCAGCACTCACCTCCCCACACAGCAGTACCAGCCTTCACCTCCCCAAACACCAATAAAAACCCTCTACTTCCCACATACTAGTACCAGCCCTCATCTCCCCACAAATCAGTTCCAGCCCCTCACCTCCCCCACACATCAGTACCAGCCCTCACCTCCTGACACACCATTACCAGCCCTCACCTCCCCACACACCAGTACCAACCTTCATCTCCCCACACACCAGTACCAGCCCTCACCTCCCCACACACCAGTACCAGCCCTCACTGTTACGGACCCGAACTCAACGTCCGAGCACGGAGCAGTGACGACCGCGCCATCTGTGGGTTAGCTCCCGAAACCCCCTCCAAATGGACGACGACACCTGGTGAGGACGAGGTGTACTGGCCACAAGGGCCAGTACCTATCCTATCCTGATTAGCTCATAACACAGCCGCTGCTGACCTCTGGTGAGGTGGCGCTCAGACAGCAACGCCATCTAGGGAGTGGATAGGTGGGCGTTTGGGTCTGAGCCGGTAAGTGACGTGCCCTAGTGTGTCTCTATTATTGATGACGTGTCTGATTGCAGAGTCGACCTGAGACTGCTGTAATGGAAGTTGAGTCAGTCTACCCAAGGCAGCCGTCTCATCACCAAGTGTTTGCTGCAGCAGCTGTGAGTCGCCCCCGGATGAACACTGTGGTGTTGACCTGCCTGTGAAGTGGCAGTTGAGGGATTGTCATATCCGGGACTGACTGGTGGAGACGCTTAACCACTGGGGAGTTGTGGCAAGGAGAGTGATCTGTGGTATCACACGAGGCTCCTGACTAGGGTTTGCTACCTTAGTAATCGATCGTGGACTGGCCTAACCAGCGTCGCTGATTTGGAACCTGCCAGCTATCTGCTGGACTTGTGGTTGACGGCCTCCACGACGGTGCCCCCAGTGGAACTGTGTTTTGGCTGGCCTGTGGCCGGGGTAGACTCGAGATTCTCGAAGGATTCGTCGTGAGGCCATAAGAGCACCAAGAGCGTGGCATCGTGAGCACCGTAAAGATCCAGAGTCTTCAGAAGAAGACAACAGTGTATATAATAGTGTTTATACCCCCCCCCCCCTGTGTAATCTTCTTATATATATTTATTGGTGAAGGTATTAATTATATATTAAGTTTTGACTTTATTTCCCTTCCCCTTTAATTTACTTGCATTATGGATCACATCCCTTGAAAGCCACTACTGGCTTGGGGCCGGATACCCTTCCTCTAACAACATCAGAGTAAGAACCCAGTTGCGACCCGAGAGGGCCGTAACATAATTGGCATCCCCAGCGGGATCCGACCCCTTGTCAAGTATGTTTGACAGGGGTGGTGAAGTGGCGTAATCCCTGTAAATAATTCCCCCTGTGTGTGACTATTAGGACGTTATGCGTCCTGTGCGGTGCTCGGAGTGACTAAGTGCAATATTGTGCAGTGCGGTGCTCGGTGTGATTACGCGCAACATTGTATAGTGAAGTGCTCGCTGTGATTAAGTGCAATATTGTGTAGTGCGTTGCTCGGTGTGATTCAGTGCAATATTGTAGAGCGAGATGTTCGCTGTGATTAAGTGCAATATTGTGTAGTGCGGTGCCTGAAGTAATTACGTGCAATATTGGCAAGTGAGGCGCCAGGAGCGATAAAGTGCAATATTGACATAGAACAGTTCTCGGTGCGTTAAGTGCTAACGTGAAAGCGGTGTGTTAAGTGCTAGTTAAGTGCTTCCGTCTCGGTGACAATGGCAGAAAAAGCTACCATCGACGATCTGGACGATGTTCAGGCTTTTCTGAACAGGGAGGACTGTCTTGCTAGATTAAAATATCTGGAGAAACAAGAACTCGTCTTAGTTAGTGCCTACCTGGAGATCAAGATACGTGCCAGTGATTCCCGTGTGGAGATCTTGTCCAAGGTTCACTGGCATTTGAAGGCCGAGGAGAAACGAGAAAGTGAGGCACTAGGTACAAAAGAAAGTGAAGTAGCTTCCACTGAAAAGGAAGATAAAGGCAGTGACATTGACAGTGATGCAGGTGAGCTAAATATAAGTTTACTTACAGTCAAAATGCGTGCCGTAGAGATAAATCGTGAGATAGAATGGAAGAAGTTGGAAATAGAACGAGAATTAAAAGAAAAAGAATTGGCGATGAGGCGTTTAGAATTAGAAAGAGAAGAGAAATGAGAGAGAGAAGAGCGAGAAAGAGAAGAAAGAAGAGAAGAGCGAGAAAGAGAAGAGAGACGAGAGAGAGAAGAAAAAGAAAGACAGAGACAACATTAGCTAGAAGTATTGCGATTAGGCGGTGGTCAGAGACAAACAACTGGAACAAGTATTTTCGATCCGGTGAGGAATATCAAAATGGTCCCGAAGTTCAACGAGAAGGAAGTTTCGAAGTTCTTCGCAGCCTTCGAGATAGTCGCTGCCTCTTTGGAGTGGCTAAGGGAGAATTGGGCCATCATGATACAGTCAGTCTTGACTGGCAAGGCCCAAATCGCCTACTCCACGTTACCCCTTGACGACTCCGGCGATTATGACAAGATGAAGAAGGTCATGCTCATGGCGTACCAATTGGTACCTGAGGCTTACAGGC